ACATGAAGCACTAACCAAAGGGATGGATGGAAAGCCCAGGAGGGGATTTCTAAGAGGCCGTCACTAACTGAATAATTACACAATAATAATTTAAGTGGTGCTCACCCCTGTGTTGATGTGAATGGAGACTAATGTGGTCTTTGGGGACTTTCTTTGAGAGTCATGTAAATCAGAGAGCATGAGGGGGTCCTGAGAATGAGAACAGCAGGGTAGGATTTAGGCTGGGATACTCCTGACTTTCCAACACCCGACTCTCCACCAGGAAAATTCTCCTTCTCTGTAAACAATTAATAAATGTTTACTACCACTAGTGGAGACCCATGAAGACCGAATCCATACATTTGACCTTTAAGAAGTGCTCTGTAAGCACCTCTAATCGAGTGTTCCAAGATAACCTGATGCTCTACATCCTCCCTGATATTTCTTTTGCTCTCAGAGCTGTACCTTCCAGTTAACATAAGTAGCTTCGTCACCCATGGACTTTGCCTTATGTCTCTGTGCCCTCCGTTTCTCTCTCTCTGTCTTCAGCACAAACTGCTATCCAAAGCTCCAGGCTCCACTGGGATATCAAACCATCATGTCAGTTTGCTTATTGAACCATCCAGTGATCAATTTTAACCATTTTTATTGAAATGGTCTCTCACTGTGTTGCCCAAGCTGCTTTGAAACTCTAGGCTTCAAGCAATCCTCCTACCTCAGCCTCCTGAGTAGGTGTGTACCAGCGTACCTGGCTATCCACCAATATTTTGTAAGTTCTGTGGCCTTAAGCACAGTCTCTCCATTTTACAACATCAGTTTCCCAAACTTTTTCATCATCTCAATCAAAACTCTACATCTATTAATGGTAACCCTTTTTTCATTTCCCCCACCTCTGGTAACTGCTGTTCCACTTCTATCTCCATGAATATGAGTATTCCATGTACTCATTGGAGTAGAATCCTATAATATTCATCTACTGGGTTATCTTAATTTTGACATTTCAAAACCATTCCAAGAAGAGGTGGTGTTAAAAGCTCAGGAAAAGATTTTTGAGAGGTAATCACTACAAAATAATTACACACGGTTATTGAATCAAAATGGTGCTCACTGTTGTGTTGGGTGGTCTCAGAATCCATGGAGAGCTTTGGGCTTTCCTCAAGATCCACAAAGTCAGGGAGCTTTATG